GTAAACTGACTGTTCTCTATTGTAAAAATCTACTATAATAATTTTATAGGTGTAATAGTTATCAATTAAGGATATTTTTTCAATTTGAAAAGTATAGCCCTACAAATGAAAATAATATTATATCACACAGATAATTTTATTAAAAAAATTATTAAAAAAGTAAAATATTTAAAGCAAAGAGCCAATAAAGGTAATAAAGAAGTTCAAATAGTAATAGCCAAAGTTTTAAACAAAGTTTCAGATGAAAATAAGGTTTCAAAAATTTTAAATAAAAGATTGTAGAATTTTATTTTATCATTAATTATAATTAATTTTATAATTTAGAATTTATATTATATAGAATAAATTTTAATTAATATAATAATTTTTTAAAACAAATAATTAATATTTGTCAACTGGATTTGAAATTGATGAAAATTTTAATAATAATGATAAAGAGTTAATTAATAACTTAGTTGATAGTTCTATTAATACTGACTGTAATAAAAATGTTCTAGTAAGATATGAAAAATTTAAAATTCTCTTTAGATATAAATTTAAAAACAAAAATAAAATTAGTTATAATATTATAAACTAACTATCCTTTATTGTAAAAACTTACTATAATGATTCTATAGGTGTAATAGTTATTAATTAAGGATTTTTTTCAATTTGAAAAATATAGTCCTATAAATGAAAATAATATTATATCATACAGATAATTTTTTATTAAAAAAATTATTAAAAAAATAAAATATTTAAGACAAAAAGTCAATAAAGATAATGAAGAAGTTCAAATAGTAATAGCCAAAGTTTTAAACAAAGTTTTAGATAAAAATAAGGTTTCAAAAGTTTTAGATAAAATATTGTAGAATTTTATTTTATTATTAATTATAATTAATTTTATAATTTTAAATTTATATTATATAGTATAAATTTTAATTAATATAATAATTTTTTAAAACAAATAATTAATATTTATCAACTGAGTTTGAGATTGATGAAAATTTTAATAATAATAATAAAGAGTTAATTAATAACTCAGTTGATAGTTTTATACCAGAAACAGAGTACAAAGTATATAGGATATGGTTTACAGACAAGTTAAGTGAAGTGTACAATTATGAGCATTTGATTAGACAAGAGCTCCTTGTGACTTTGTGTAGCACCCCGAACAATACTAAAAAAGAATGCTATCAGGAAATGTGGCTTACACAATTTATATTAAATGATATTTGTAACTCCAAATATGTACACTATATAAGAAGGTCGGCTAAAATGAAGTAA